AATTATCGACTTACATTTCCACATGAATGCACACAATGTCCCAAAGTTAAGACCAGCTATTAATGGTCCTATAGTTCTCGGCAGTTTTATCAAAACAAACAAAATGTCATAATAGCGCTGGCCTGGTTAGAATGTTATTCATTGACGTCATGCATGTTATTTACATGAAGTTCAAGTCAAGTGTGATGCATATCGATGCGCGCGAATGGGAGGTTTCTTTCATTCACATGATTATTGTGCACTACAGTGTACAGGGTGTACAGTACATCAATACAAATGATTGAACCCATTTATTGAAACTTGGATTTTGTTTATAGATCTTATTGATTTCTACAATGAGTTTATATTATTGCAAATAATTTCTTTATTTTTAATGTAAAAAAAATAAGCTGATATGAAAACAGGTAAAAGTTTTGCAACTCGATCTTAAGGGCCTTTCACGAAAATATTTCATCATTTTCTACACTACAATAAAGATATACGGTATTTACAAATTTCTTCCAAATGACAAATTATTTCCAATCTTAACTTATAAACCAACGCCTAATATGTCTACAGTGGCATTTACTCAAGGGTGGCACGGGGGGCTGGGGGTCTTTCAGTCTTACATGATTAAATAGGCCACTTTCGTAATGTAACCAAATTTAATGCATAAGTCTTTGTAAAGTGCCTCTATATAAATATTTTATTCACCTGATAAGAATAATGGAATTTCAATAGACAGAATCTGAACTGCATACATTAGTTGTTGCCAGGTTGGACAAACGTTATGGCTTGACCTACCTAGCAACACTTAATATATGCAATAGCATTATGACTATTGAAATACTATTATTCTTATCAGGTGAATGAAATAATTTGTATTGAGGCACTTCACAAAGACGTATGCATTAAATTTGGTTACATTACGAAACTGGCCTATTGTGCTAATAAGTAAAACCCACCAGGACGTTTTTTTCTCTCATTATAAGATGTATTTTTTCGTACTGTGACCTCACAAATCAAAAACGAAGTTTTGCTTGCTTGGTTCGCTTGCAAATATTTTGACAATCACACCCAACTGCAAAGTAAGATGCTTAAAGGTAAAGACCAGTTTTGGAAACGCCCCCCTCTCAAAAAATGAAATGGAAGCTCTTATTACCATCATGTGAAAGAATATATTTTGACTAATAAGTGATGATACAAATTTTGCCGGAAAACCGCCTAGTATTTGGTAAAATATTATATCTATCCGGACCGGATAGATATATTGCGCACATGTTGCATAGTCCTATATACATCTTTCCGTGTACAGTGCTTGTAACTTTACCAAGACTGGGCCAAATTTCTTATCAGTTTGTTGATTCCAGAGTCTTGCAGTACACACCAATACTTAATGTATATGCTAGATGATCAACCTTTTCTGATCGATTCCACGTTTCTTTCACAATGAAATCGCATGACCAACACTGGTCTTTACCTTTATGTCCCATGTAAAGAGAGAAACAAACATTGAAACAATACACCAATGATCAAGGGCGTATCCAGGATTTTGAAGGGAGGTGTTTCTTTGCCCAATTTGTGAGAAAATATTAAGCAGGAAATCAGCCAGCCAGCCGGTAAATAAAAAGGGGGAACTAATTTTTGGCTGGGGGGGGGGGGGGGGGCCGGCCATAGATAAAACACAGATAAAGGGTGCCTTTAAAATTCTAAAACACCCCCCTTTTACCAAAGGGGAGGTGGTGTTTGAACACCTAAAACACCCCGTTTGCCAAGGAGAGGTGTTTGAACACCCAAAACACCCCTCCCCCCTCGATACACCAATGCCCATAACATAATCATAATTATTAGAATGTAGGGGTATACATGTACCAATGTCTAAAAATTCATGTTTTTGCTTTGAGGTTTTCCTACAATTTATGTACATGTGGGTGCCCCCCCTCCACTTTGGAAGACACTCCACCCCCCCCCCCCCCCCCCCCCTCCTTGGAAATAAGACTTAAGTACTAAATACCATTTGGGGTTTAGAAAAAAAAAGAATGAATGAGAAATTGAGACTGTTTCTCCGATATAGAATTGCTTTAGTTAGTTGGTCATCATTCTCTACTGCTGGAACATGTACAAATTCATTTTCGCTATGACTAGTCTAATTACATGTAATTATGTATAAACAGCATTAGCTATGCCCATATGCTGAGCTGGGCATACAAAAATGTAGAGTTTCATGGCAATTGACCTCTTATAACCTTTGACCTTAATGACCTATATGTATACCCAGATGCTGTGTGTCTGGACAGTTGATTTAAAGGGACTATGTCCCATTTGCAGGCCAAAAAAATGAAAAAGTTAAATTCCAACTGCATTTGAAAGATAATACTAATTTAGAACTTTCCTAAAAAAGGTGGGGCTTGAAAATGCCTTCAAGTGGGGAAATAACGACTATTAGTTGTCAAATCGACTTTAGGGCTGTAGAGCCCAAAAGTAATAGTCTTGATTTTCAGACAATTGTACCGAATGGTCATACGTTTTATGCTGCGCAAAGTTTCAATCAGTTTAATCTTGGCCATCACAAGAAGTGGGTTATTGATGTAGACAAATACTCATGTACCCTTTACAACTCTTTTCATGTATTGTGCAGAGCCTGTGAGCCCAGGAACCTCGGTGCCAATGTCTAGTCAAGCGCCACCCACACCATCTCGTGCTCTAAGGCAGTCAACATCAGCACCTTCCCCAAAGATGGCACCGATGAAATTTCCCACCTTTAGTGGGCATTTGAAGGACTACAATCGGTTCAAGCAGCTATTTCTCCACTGTGCAGGAGGTTTGACTGAGATTGAATGTTTCTATCAGCTCACCGAGGCAATGGTCAACAGCAGAGAACGCAGCATGATTAAAGGATGCATTAGCGTTGAGCGTGCATGGGAAGTGTTAGATGAATACTATGGAGATCACCTTCGCCTTCTATCAAAACTTGAGACATATGGTATATGTGGCCAAATTAAGGAATGGATAGCAGACTTCCTCCAAGGTAGATGCCAGAGAGTTAGAGTCAATGATAAATTATCTGACTGGACAAAAGTAAGGAGCGGAGTGCCGCAGGGTAGTGTTCTCGGCCCAACAATGTTTGTCTTGTGCATCAATGACCTACCAGATGGACTTCAAGGGTCTGTCAAGATCTATGCTGACGACACTAAACTGTATGGCAAAGCATCCACCAAAGATGATCTGTGCTCAATCCAATCTGACCTTGATGCACTAATGGAATGGAGCAATACATGGCAAATGCACTTCAACACACAAAAGTGCAAAGTACTACACATAGGCCCAGGAAACGTCAAACACATCTATGCCCTTGGAGATGATGTCCTTGAAGCTACATCAGAGGAGAAAGACCTCGGCATCCTCATTGATGACGAGCTAAAGTTCCATAACCATGTGGCATATGCTGTCAAGAAAGCCAACGGAGTACTCTCCTGCATCCGTCGCAGCTTTGAGTGCAGAGACAGGTCCACAATTCCAAAGCTGTACAAAGGCCTTGTCAGACCTCTCATAGATTACGGAGATTCCATATGGTACCCTCGCTTCAAGACAGACTCCAAAACCATAGAGAGGGTGCAGAAGAGAGCTACCAAAATGATTTATGACATCCGCAACCGTCCTTACATAGAGAGACTTCGGGCGCTCAACCTTCCCTCCTCGAATATCGCAGACGGCGAGGCGACATGATTCAGGTTTTCAAAATCATCCATGGACTTGAACGCATCCCAGTTGATACCTTCTTTGAACACTCGACTAGCAACACAAGAGGCCACAGTCTAAAGATCGTAAAACAAAGATGCTCAACGAAGATTAGACAGGATGCATTCAGCCAACGTGTCGTCAATGACTGGAACACACTTCCTGAAGAGGTGGTCACTGCTACCACGGTGAATGCCTTTAAAGCCAGACTGGATCGAGTATGGAAGGACAAGCGTTTCTGCTCCCCATATGAGTAGAATACCCGACGCAGAACTGAGCCAGACACTTACCAAGAAGACACCCAACTACGAGAAGGAAGAAAAGGAAATTGAACTGGAAGCCCGACTGCTGAGAACACAGCATTCTTCCAGAATCTCGGGTAAAGGTAAAGGTAAAGGTAAAGACCCCTCCCCCCCCCCCCCAAAAAAAAAGGGGGGGAGAAGAAGAAACTTCAAGTTCAAAGAACTTTGATTTTAATAATACTAGATTCTAGATTTATTTTAGAATTATTTTGCCAAAATGTAATAATAATGACACCTCAAATACTGATTCCCAATTTAACTTTCCCCCTTTTTGATGAAGAGGGGAGGAGGTGTTCTGCCGATCTGTCGCAGAGTGTACACAGGAGTCAGTGTCAACCACTCCAGCAAAGCATTAGAGAGTCAATGCTAATGGCTTTATTGGGTATTGACCTCTAGCGTAGCACAAAGTAATACGAGGCAGCAATTGCACTCATGAATAGTCAATACACTTATTGCACACTTATGCACACAACAAATACGATGTGGTTGATCGGCAAATTTGACAGTAGACTTACAATTTCAATTTTTAATTATTCTTTCTAACATCGGCAAGTTGAACAAATTATATTTTTCTGTTATTTAGGTGTCATAAATTGTCACTAAAGTACCGATTTTGATTGAAATCGGTTGAGTTTTGTACAGTGGTGTTTGAAATGTTGAGAATCAATAGCACAGCTTTTAATACACAGCCAGGATAGTATTAGTAATATGCAGCTATGCCTATGTGTGAGACGGCCGTACCGCTAAATTTTTACTCGTGCATTCAATGCACGTGCGCTGCACAGATCAGACTTACCGCAAGTACACACAACATTAACAATGGCAATGCACATGAATGGTATCATGCTTTCACACATAGATAATAGCTACATTGTTGTTCAATGCAAAGTGCGCACGTCACAATCACAATGTTATCTATAATCTGCCATATCATAAACATACACTTAAATCTTGATACAAGAAGTCAACTTATCCACTTACATTTCAACATGAATGCACACAATGTCCGGGAGATTACTAGGCAAGACCTAACACTGATTATTTGATTAATTTTAGTTTACAAACACTTGTCAGTCCGAAATCACAACAGCGCTGCCCTGGCCGGCTAGTTGGCTATAGATAGAGGTTGACGTCATTATGTTAAGTTCAAGTCGATCGAGTGTGCGATGCATATCGATGCGCGCCGATGAATTCAAGTGAGCTATTAATGTAACCCATATAATTGAAACTTTGATTTTATATAAATGTAATTCTACAATGAATAAACTAATGTTGCAAATGATTTCTTTCAAATGAGCTGATATGAAAACAGGTAAAAGTTTTTGCAACTAATTATAGGCCCTAAATTTCGTGAAATATTTCATCGATTTCTACAAGTTAATTAGATTTTTATTAGAATAAATTAAAGATTATGTATATTTCTTCCAATTAAATGACAAATTATTTCCAAACTTTTTTTTGGTGAGAATCAGATATTTAAAGTGAAGAAGAATTTTTTTTTTTAAATATAAAAATAAAAAAAGGCGGACAAAATAAACAGTAATACATGAAGGCACCACCCCATAATAATAACACTTTCTTTGCATGAATACAATTAAGTCGAGAGGTTGCAAAAATAAACAAATACAAAGAGGGGGAGGGGTATTAACAAAGAAAGGAAATAAAACTAAACATCAAAACGCGCCATTTCTTTCCACAAACTCCAAATACTTTTTCAAAATTAGAATTTGGAATCATCGGCATTTCTGGCCAATCACTGTGAGGAGATTTTGCCATTGAATTGGGACATGCAACTTTGTCACAATCACAAAATAAGTGAACCATTGTTTCCTCTTTTTGGTCACATAAAGCACAATTGGGTGATTTCTTCCAATTATTTCCAAATTTAGCTGTTAACCATGCCTGCCACGGTATACACAGTGGCGTATACCGGTATTCGAATCCGGGATGGAACATGGGGGGCCGGGGGGCGCCGGTTTTTGATGGTTTGTTTGACTGCTAACTAAAAGAAAGCATGTTTATGAAGACAGTATGGGACCGACGGCTGTAATTAAGTCCTCTCTGATGGACTGATCCGAACTGCGTCCTTGATGTTAGCGTGCAGGAGAGAAGAAAGGGAAATGTAGAAGACATAACGGGAAATTAAAAGAGACAGAGAGAGCATACTCTATTATCTCTCTTTTCCCGTATTTTGGGGACACAGATACACACATGTTTCTGTGTCACCAAACTTTCCCACTCAAGGAGCAAGGGGTATAATCCCCTCCAGTCCTCAAGTTACAGTCATCTGCCCCTCAAATTTTGACCATCTAGAGTACAGCGTTTTTTAACCGAGGTGCCGCGAGAGTATTTCAGTTATGTTTATAGTGGCGTAATGAGCAAAAAAGAATCGGGAGGCATGCAGAACTAAAAAAAAAAAAAAAGAAGAAAATCACGTAATTTCAGCAACATTTTTAAATCACTGGTATCAAATTAAGAGAAAAAAAACACGTTTGAATTTTATCGCCCCGAATTAAAATTATTTGATAATCACTTTGGATATTTTTTGTGAGGAAACAACATTTCATACAGAGCAAACTCAGCAAACAAGGTCCATGAAATCAGGCGCAGATCCAAGTCCCCCTCCCCCCCCCCCCCCCCCCCCCCCACCCCTGGTTAAAGAAAACAAAATTAAAGAATTTTCTCACAAATTAGCGAATTAGGCATTAAAAAAAAAAAACTCTTATAGTGGGGGGGGGGGTGAGATCGTGTTCCTAATAAAAAGAAAGTTTTCCAGGACTAGCTGACTAATGTCGCCCCATCTCTTTTACTGACAACGTACGATGGATCCGCCCTTAATTAGATCTTTCTGTTGGGCAGATAGAATTTAGCTTAATACTCAAATCAAGCGACATCGAAAGAAAGCAGGAAAAAATGGGCGTAATCATCCAAACCCTCTTCCAGGTACGAAAAGCTATACTACACATAAGTGCCCCCTTCATCTCTGATAAGTGCTCTTTTCATTTGTAATGAGTGCCCCTTATCAACTCTAATAAATGACTCTTTTCTCTTCTTATAAGTGCCCTTTTTCCTTCTTATATAATAATATTCCTTTCCATACAAAACGCTGTATCATAGTCAATAGCATTTGAAAATCGCTGTCACTGCCCTGCTGCGATATCTCAGTCACACTAACGAAACCGACCCCAGCCAGACTACAGACCGAACAAAAAATAGCCAAACATCGGTCGGCGTGGAGTCGGCGTGGAGTCGGCGTGGAGTCGGCGTGGAGTCGGCGTGGAGTCGGTATGGAGTCGTTGTGGAGTCGGTGTGGAGTCGGTAAGTCTGGGTTTAGCGGTGTGACTGAAGTATGTTATGGGCTATGCCATAATTGCCCTATGTATAGAACATAGATGTAACTGTACCACGGAATAGATTTGAATTAACTAATCACATTATCACATGCGTCATTTTTATCAGCAATTATGGCAAAATTAGTGGGAAACAATAAATAATGAAGATTCATATTTCAGATCCATCCATAATTATATCGAGACTTATGAACCTGTCTGGATTTTGTAGAAAAGATCAATGATGGGAAAATGCAAATTAAACTTTTACAAATTCACTATTAATAAACATGAAAATGGCCTTTGTTATATTTGTCATGAAACTAAAACAAGGCTGAAAAATTAGGAGTTTACATTTATAAAAGCCATAGACCACTCATTGGCGAGTTATAAGAAACTTTGCCAAGAGTAATCGTAAAGAGCAAATTGTATTTTGTTGGTGTTTTTTGTTAGTTGTTTAAAGTCCTATTATAAACGCCAATGTGATGTATTTATATTATCTTACGTTCGCCTACTCTCTCTCCCGGAGAGAAAGGAAAGGAAAAGTATAGTTTATCACTGCACAATATTAACCTTCATTTAATACTCGCACCCTGGTAACGGTCGACGCCTAAATTGGTACCCACAGCATCGATTGAACGGAAACTGTGAAACTCACTGAATCAATATTCAAGCCAGAGAAAAAGAAACAGCGCCACCTAATCATCAATAATGAATAACTTCCCTCTTTTATATACAGTACGTCCCAGAAAAAACGAAACCGAGAATAATCGATGTTTTATCATAATTTAATCACAATTATAAGTGATAAATGACACATATTTGTAAAGCTTAAAACATCCTCTTTCTTTTTTATGCAACTCTTATAATGCATATTTCACGCATGAGTGATTAAAATGAATTTGAAGAGAGGAAACCAAAAAGTCATTTGGCGGACGGTATCTGAATTTCAAAAAGAAAATCACATAAGTTGAGTTTCTGCCCTCTCATAATTATGAGACCTCAATCAGGAAAAATGAGCTAGGAATAAAAAAAAGTTTCCGTTTCCATTGCATTTCCATAATCTTATCAAACGAAATCGTTTTCACTGGCTGCCTGCCGTAGCAACAAACGGAATTAACAAAAGACGTTTCGTTGACAATCAGCTATGCATGAAGTCTTTCGCGGGGGGTCAAGGGGCGGAGCTTCCGAAGCTCAAGGGGTATGGGCATCAGTGGCGGATCCAGGAATTTCTTACGGGGGGGGGCACAAAATGGCATGGGGTGAATTTTGTAAAACGATGAAGCGACAGAGCAAGGCTTTAGCGGCGAGGGAGCGGAGCGACTAAGCGGGGCGGGTTTGGGAGGGGGTCCTGACCCCTCCCAGAGTAGGAAGCATTTGCAATTTTACAACCACATTAGACGCATTTTCAGGCACTTCCTGGAGTAATATGACGTAAAATTGCTTTCTCCTACCCCCTCCAAGAGTAGGGATCTTTTGCAATTTGAGAACCACATTTGGCGCATTAATGTCCACCGGCACTTCCTGGAAAAAACGAGGCCTTCTGATTGGTTAGAAGTTAGAGAAAAGTGATCTGTCACGTCGTGAGATGTTGTGCTTCGTTGCTGCACAATGCACAAAGACGGTGGTCCGGTACTTCACCAGTAGTACTTGCACAAATTATCTCGAGTGTATAAACTGTGTTGTTATCAGGGGCGTCGCTAGACCTTTTTCAGTTGTGGGGGGGGGGGGGGGGGTGTAGAGGCCACCGATTAACGAGAATACTAGCCACCAATAATATTACCAACAAGTATATTAATGCCAATGTCCCAATGTCTACAAATTTAACCCTATAAACCCGGGGCCAGGAACTAAGTTAATTTTCAATTTTCCCCTCCCGCGCGGAGCGCGGAACCTTTGACACTTCATTACATTATTCGAGAAAGAAGACGATCCGTTGTACCGTTCTCGACTCTTAATTTTTCTTTCGCCCCTCCCGCGCGAAGCGCGGAAGCTTTGACACTTTATTAAATTATTAGAGAAAAAAGATGATCTGATGTACCGTTCTCGACTCTTCTTCCTGTTTCTCCCCTCCCGCGCGAAGCGCAGAAGCTTTGACGTTTCATCTAATTATTAGAGAAAGAAGACGATTCATTATACCTTTCTCGACTCTTAAAAGGCCCATGGAATCGAAATACAAGTGTATTCCTGTTGGTGTGCAGTCCTGCATACATCTCATATTTTGATATGTAAACTTCTGAATTTGTTTCATAGATATTTTTTTTATATTTTTTTAAATATTTGTTTTTCAAACTTTCTAAGCTCCACCCCAAGAAACTCCAGATCTCATTCCCCTTGTGACATCATATGTCAGTCATTAATGAGCTAACTTGAGAAAGTGGTATGTATCTTTGCTGAAGTCGACCACCTGTTACAATACGTAATACAATAGCAACATACACGTTGCTATGTCAGACATGCTGTAGCATCACCAGGAAGACAAAGGCAATGATGATATACTGCACATTATGTATGTAAGCATGCAATTTTATTATGAACGTGTGCTAAGCTGAGGGAAATTACATACCATTGTCTATTCTAGAATATTAGTTTAGTCTGACCCCTGGCCCCCAAAAAAACATTATGGGAAGGGGCTTTCCTAAAAAGGGGGAGGAGGGAAATCCCGTCGTAAAACAACAATAGTATATGACTGTAATCATTTTGCATCGTTAGATAAGCTTCTTAGTGCTCTATATAGACTCTAA